TCCCAAAAGCCCGCGGCCGTGCCTCGAAGTGCCGCTGCGGTGCCTGGCACGGAGAGGAGGGCGGCAGGCGCGCCCGTTCAGGTGGCTGCACGGTGCAGAAGGCAAACCCCGAGGATCGCCCCTGCGAGGGGCTGGAGTTTCACAGCCCTGGCTGCCTTTGGCCGAGGAGATCTTTCTCCTGCCGATGAAGAATCGCCTCTCGCAGAACACACTGTCCTCTTGCAGCTGTTTGCAAGCTGGTGTCCATGACTTAGGGGGGTGCAAAGCCTGTGCCTTGGCTGTCTGGTTGCCAGGGCTCCGGGCAGAAGAAGATAAATGGGGGAGAGTACACGAAGCAACTCAGCGTTACTTTCTCCTGCCGATGAAGAATCGCCTCTCGCAGGACGCACTGTCCTCTTGCAGCTGTCTGCAAGCTGGTGTCCGTGACTTAGGGGGGTGCAAAGCCTGTGCCTTGGCTGTCTGGTTGCCAGGGCTCCGGGCAGAAGAAGATAAATGGGGGAGAGTACACGGAGCACCTCAGCGTTAAAGTCTTGGTGCACCGGGATGTGTTTGTGAGGGCAAGATGCTCTCCTCCATCAGAGGAGATGGCTGGACTGTGCCCTGGTTTGCTTTCGCAGGAATTACGAGCTCTCTGCAGTTATCACTGTGCTTTCTCCCATCAGGAGGAAGCAGCATCCATGCCCCACGTGCTGGAGATGAGCTCCAGCCAAGCTGGTCTGCCTGGGAGGGGAAGGAGGAGGGGGGGGCCATAGGGGGTTTTGGGGTGAATGGCAGAGCAATGCGACTTCATGATTCTGAGCGTATCCGATCACTCTGGCAGAGAAAAGCAACTTGACGGTTGATGCGGTGAAGCTGCACAATGAGCTGCAGTCGGGGTCCCTGCGTTTGGAGCGGCCACGTGACAGCACTCAGCTCCGTATGGAGGAGGACGATGCTGGGGAGGCCGCCACGGAGAAGTCCTCTGGCACCTTCCTGAGCGGGCTGAGCGACTGCACCAACGTCACCTTCAGCAAGGTGCAGCGCTTCTGGGAGTCCAACTCTGCTGCTCACAAAGAGGTACGGGGAGGAGCAGAGCTAGGTGGGGGTCCAGTGGTGATGGTCCCCCTGGATGTGAGGCTGAGGGTGCTGACCTGATCCGCTTGCTGCTCGTAGATCTGTGCCGTGCTGGCGGCCGTGACGGAGGTGATCCGCTCACAGGGGGGCAAGGAGAGCGAGACGGAGTACTTTGCTGTGCTGGTGAGTGATGGTCATGGGGAGGAGGCATGAGGGGAGCTGCTGTCAGCAGCCTGGTTTTGTTCTTGGGAGGGGTCGTGGTGTAAGGTGCTGTACTTGTAGCCAAGGCCCCAGGCATCATTTTCCAGCAGAGATGCTGTTGGGCTGCTCCTGGCTTTTCTGCTGCCCTCCCCAAGGCTTGGGGATGGGGAAGGGCTGGCCTGGTGCGAACCCCTGCTTCCCCTCGCTCACCCCTCTGTTCCCAGATGACCACGCTGGAGGCGGTGGAGTCCCCCGAGTCGCTGGCTGCTGTCGCCTACCTGCTGTAAAGCGGTGAGCGGCTGGCAAAGGAGTGGGGAGAGCTACCCGGCCCCATCATGGAAGAGGGCCTGGCGCTGTCTCCCTTGCTGGGCTGGGGAAGTCACCCAAAGAGGGTGGGCTGGGGTTGCAGTTCCCTACAAGACTGCCACTGGCTGCCTGCTCCTTGCAGTGCTGACACACCCCTTTCTCCTGGCAGAGTCCCAAGCCCTGTGCTCATAAAAAAGTTCTCGGACGCCTCAAAAGCCTTCATGGGTATCGTGTCCTCACAGGCCTGCAGCAGCTCCACCTCTGCCCTGCGATGGGTGAGTAGCCAAGAGGCAGCCAGCCATGCCAGCGCTGTCCAGGGGTCTGCTGAGAGCTGAGGTTGGGGCTGCCGCTGTAGGGTGGTGCTGAGTGCTTGGCCTGAGGTTGTTGCAATGAGGGGGAGTCTCTGTGGGGTGATGCTAATGCCCCTGCTGCTCCCTGGTTGTAGGTGCTGTCTTGCCTGGCCACGCTGCTGCGGAAGCAGGACTTGGCAGCCTGGAGCTACCCTGTCACCCTCCAGGTCTATCATGGCTTGCTGAGCTTCTGCGTTCATACCAAGCCCAAGGTGAGCTCCCAGTGCCCCTGCAAAGGATGATGCTGCCTTTGGGGCTTGTTTCTGGGGCTGGCTGTGCCCCTGGGGCCTGTGGCTTCTACCCACTTGGGCTCTTCCCCCAGGTGCGGAAAGCGGCACAGTATGGCGTGTGCTCTGTCCTGAGGGGCAGTGAGTTCATGTTTGGAGACGCAGCCCCTGAGCATCACCCCGCAGCACCCTCCACTGCCAAGTTCTGTGTGCAGGAGATCGAAAAAGCTGGAGGTATGGAGCGCTGGAGCAAGGGATCTGCAGTTGAGTGTGGGGAGTCCTGCAGCCGTGGGAGAATAATGACTCAAAGGGAAGAGGGGAGGGTGCAGCACCCTGGATGGTTTGGGAGGGTATGAGATAACCTCTGGGACACCTAAGGTGTTTTGGAGGGTCCTCAGCCATCTGTTGCTTTGCTCTTCCCAGAAGTCAGGGGATTGTTCACCCCAGCTCCTGTGGGTCAGCCCCAGCTCTGTCATGGGGACTTGGCCACGGGGTGCCATGGGCTCAGATGTTGCTCTGCTCCTGCAGGCACTAAGGAGGCGACCACCACCCTGCATGTCCTCGCCCTGATGCGGGACCTGCTGCCCTGCTTCCCTGCGGCCGTAGTGAAGACCTGCTGCGAGACCTTGCTCCGAGTCATGACCCTCAGCCACGTGGTGAGCGTCCCTGCAAGGCAGCTCCTTTCCTCCTTGGCTGTGCCCTGGAAGGGCTTGAACCCCCTTGGCTGCTGGCTGGGAGCCTGGAAATTCAGGATGCAAACACGGAGGAGCCCGGGGCAGCTGGTCTGGTTGGCCTGCCTGCTCTGGAAGAGGGAGGCTAAAGATAGGGTACAATCGCAGAGGTGCTGGGCTTCCCTTGGCAGAGCCTACTTTAGGGTAGGGGGGCAGAGGGTGTGAAGGGGTGCCACCTGCCATGGACTCCTCCTCCTGAAGCCATGTCCTTCACAGTTGGTGACAGCTTGCGCCATGCAAGCCTTCTACAGCCTCTTCAGCGCCCAGGCCAGCGTGGC